GTTGTGCTGCTGATGCAGGAGCTGGTGTTCTGATGCAGAACATCCATCTCTTAGTTAATCATCTGAATATTCTGGTTCGAATAAGTAAGGCTGGGCAAAAAAACAAAAAACAGAATAAATCTTTACACGTTCAGAATGACTGTTTTATGTACAGCATGTCATCCTCTGCTTGTAAATGAGGAGCAGCGCATTTGGGTTGTACGTCAGAACACTGGCTCCTGCGTCAGCAGCACCACAGGCATATGTCGTGGTACTCTCGTGAACGCACGTCAAAGACTGACACGGAAGACAAGAAATTGTCAGGGCCTTGAACGTGGTAATTGCATTGCTGTCTATGGAGGGTCAAAAAGCTCTTGGATTTAATCAAAAATCTTAATTTGTGCTCCGAAAATAAACAAAGGTTTTACGTGTTTGGTACAACATGAGGGTGAGTGACTAATGACAGAATTTTCTTTTTTTGGTGAACTAACCATTTAACCTAATCCTTGTGTTGTGACTCTTTAGAATGAATGTATTAATATCGTGATATATTTTTATAACATCTTTTTAAAACTTAAGTAAGCAGCATCACAATTAGTATGTTAATTATGTGAATATGTCTATTTAAGTGAATAGATCAAAACTTGAACACCAAATCACTGAAAAAAGAAAAACTGGAAAAAAAGCTTCACCTTTCACAGGTACTATATTTGAGCTGAAATACAGCACAATTGGAGCAGTTACTTTAAAAGACAGACCAACTCTCTCCCCGGCTGCTTTATCTGTCTTCTCCTCTCACCTTCTCCCTCTATTTATTTTGTCCTTCCACTCTGCCAACTAAAAAAAAATAAAGGGGGAAATGCAGCGGTCTTTTCTTATCTGTCTTCATTACACTGCGCGGGATGTTGTTCTGCTCTGTGTGCATATGCACGTGTGCCTGACTTGAGAAGCAGAGGAAGAGCAGGACAGAGATACTTCAATTGCCACCTGCAAGAGGGACTATGAGGAACATAAAGGAGCAAGGGACACGCATGCAAACACACACACTACACAAGAAGTGTATTCATTGTGTTTTGCAATGGAGCTCAAATATGAAATCAGTTAGTTTGATCATTTACTGTATAAACATTGAATTAAAAAGTTGTCACTTCAAAGCAAGGTTCTACAGGCTGCCAAGGTCTCATTAGCTCCTGCTGGTAGATGTCATAACTACACCTTCTAGCTGCCAGTGTTAAGTTAACTACACTTCACTAGTGGACCAAAAATGTTCAGTATCTTGACAGTAGCAAGGCTACTTTTAACATAGTGTAGCTTTTTCAGTAGCAAGCTATTTTTTTAAGTAGCAGTGTAGTGACACAAAACGCTACATATCCATGCTTAGAATATGAAATGAAATGCCCAACTGGCAAAAGATTCATTATTTTGAGTCGGTTCTTTTCAATGAATGTGTTGATCTTAAGCAGATACAGCGATCTGCTGGTCTGGATAGAGTAGCTTTTTCAACACTGCTAGCTGCAAAATGCATCTTTCTCCACTTTCGATCTTTTATAAATAGCTAAGTATTCTGACAAAATAAATTTTGCAAGCACGTACACTGACATAAATTGCAAACTCCACCCCTCCATTCATGAGCTTCACCCCAGACTCATCTCCCCATGGATGCCCTGTGCGCTCAGTAAGTGTCTAGAGAATGGACAGCACAACATCTCCTCTGCAAAATACCCAATCACCCTTCATTCTGAGCACCACTCCTAATTTTCCTCTCCACACCTTGAGTTCCTAATCACTCAATCCAGAGCTCCTTTCGTCACAGCATCTGATTGCTCTAAACCTTTCACCTTCCCTATACTCTTCTTTTCAGTCTCTCTATGTTGGTCTCAGTCTTGTGTTAAAGACAGTAGGAATCAAATTCACTCTGCTGCTTATACGGTGTGTCAAGCAGAGTGACCTCATTGTTCAACCCAAATCTGTTATTCACATGAATGCTCAGACCAACTGAAAAACATACACCACGCACACACAACATCAGAGGACATCTGGGGAAAAGGAAGGATTAAAGGAATTCCCCAAAATTAGAATTCTGTAACCGTTTACTCACATTCTTGTTGTGCCAAACCCATATGACTTTGTCTTTTTTCCATGGTACAAAAAAGTGAGACATTTTGTAGAATTTGCTGGTTGAGATTTTCCATGTAATAACAATGGTTGATTCAAGATTGTGATTCAAGCCTCAAGAAGGTTTAAAGGGCATGACATGTCACGACATGACATGAGAAACCGAAATTTCCCTTAATCTTTCGATACAGAAGAGGTCTTTGTATGCTTAATACATCCTGCAAGTTTCATAACTTAAATGTTTTTTATTGATGATGAGGACATTGTATGTAATATCCCTCAAAAAATGGCTTATCTTGGATCCAAGGTGCAAGGTGATGTCATCCAGTCGCAGTCGTTTGCATAAACACCGCCACCAGAGCAACACATTGACATAAGCCCCGCCCACTGGCATGCAGCCACTTAGCGGCTTGACACCTGATTATGCTGAATGCGACTGTTGCGTCAAAAGCAAATAAAAATTACGATCACTGCCGCTATTTTTTCTACACTGGATACAGTATACAGATGCGTGTTTGCTTTCGGATATAATCCACACACTTGAGTCTGTCGTTAATAGGACAAATGGAGCGAAAGAATGTTTGCTTTAATGCATTTAAAGAGCTCTTTCGCGTCTTTGTACAGATATCAGAAGGTTCCCTGCGTAAGTAACAAGTGGATAGTTTATTTTAAAGGTATCCTGGATCGTGTCAGAGGACTGTCCGGAGTGTTTTGTTTTGTAAATGAGGCACAGTGTCATGGAGAGTTCACAAAGAAACATTTGTTGAAAGATGAAGCGAAACTAGATCTGACTGCAGCTGCATCACAAACCCTAAGTAAATGATTTCATAATGCTTTGTCTGGAAATGACTCACAATAGCGAGGAGGCACTGACAGTGTTTCCTATACAATGACATTAGCCAATCATAACAGTGGCTGATTCCTGACAAGCCTTAAAGGACCCGCCTCTTAAAACAGTTCGTTTCAGAGAGAGGGTTTGAACGGGGGTTGAAAATAATCATTTTTCCACATATTTATTTGTTTTTTTTGTGCAAAAAAAAAAACTTTATTAACATTATAAGTAAACCTCAAGGAACATTAAAATAATTCAAATAAAATCCATGTCATGATCCCTTTAAATAAATAAAATAAATATTCAGTGAATTGGTTAAACTAAAACAATTCATTCAGGTTCTCTCTCTTGAACGGGTCCCAACAGTTTTCTTTAGTCACTGGAGGGGAAGATTATCGGATTATATTAACAGCTGTAACAGTTCAGAAGTTTTAAAATACACATTTAAAACCCTTTTAAGATAGTTTTATGGTCCTTTTGAATTCTAGTGAAGCTTGAAAGCAACCATTACATTTATCTCCTTTTTGTTCCACTGCAGAAATAAAAACACACAAGTTTGGAATGACAAGAGTGAGTAAATGACAGAAGAATTCTTTTAATCTAGTGACTGATGTGGAAGACTGTGAATTGCATAAGATGAATAAAACGGAGTTAAAATATAACATTTCAGGATGAAGAAACATTCACTCAAGTATTTTGAAATGAACAGCTGATATATAGTATATGAGCAATGAGTTCAAAAAAAGTGAAGATCCCTTGAAAAGATTCAAAAGGATCTTAATCTTGATGTCATAGCATATATTTTTAGCACCAGATAATTAACGCTCACCTTCTATAAACTGATGTCATGATGCTGATAACATACAGCAACATTTATATATAACTTATAAGGTGAGACCAATGCTCCACCCAGACTCATATTCCATGACTTCTCTGTATATGCGGTTTTGAAAGTCTTCCTGGATCTAATTCTGGCTTGCAGCAGTGTCAGTGATTGATGCTTTTGTGCTTCATGGTGATTTCCCCCACGATGTGTCATATGAGACAGACAGAACTACCTTTATGCCTCAATGCTGCTACTACTCTGCCCTCTTGTGCTGCTGCCGTTATTTGAGAAGTGACAGCGCCATCTTGTGAAAGGGATGGGGCACTGATTCACAAAACACCTACTGAGTTTTAATAAGCTAACAAACCATTAATGTCTACTGAAACATTCATGTTTGTTTTATAAGAATGCTAATGTGTTTTTAAAAATGTCTTTATATAAAGTGAGGAAAAGTGAGAAAATATCTTTATATGATATATATATAGCATTTATATCTTTATTTTTAAGTGAGGACCCAATAGGCCGCTAGTGAAAATACTTCTACTTAGCTTTTTGTTCTGAATTCCTATTGAATTACCAACATAATAGTGCATTTAAATAATGAATTTGTTACGTGTTTTTTTTTTTTTATATGCCGGCTCAGGACATCAGATTACAGACAGCACAAAAGAAAACAAAATTCAGGAAAGATATATACAAGGTCTTACCCCTCCGATTCTATACTGTCCTGAACCATGGCTTTGAGTGCATCGGAGTTGGCTGGTGGAAAAAAAGAAAGAAAGAAAGAGAGAGTTCATTAAATGACTTCTTATATTAGCACAGAGAAGAGTCTGCAGCCTCAGATGCAAAACCATTAAGCAAACCGTTTAGTCTTCTGCCTAATGAAAGCAGCTGACTGCCTTCTGATGCAACTACTACTGCAGCACATACTCACAGTTGCAGTGGACAGAGGGCAGTTTCAGGCCACCATTTAGTTTCATTGTGCAATGGCATCAGGGTATTTTCAATTTGAAATGCCTTCAAAAAGGCAGCCAACTTTAAAATGTTAATATTTTCACACAGTGGCACATGAATTGTGCAACCACTGGCAATGAAAGTGACTAGCACTAAACTTTTAGTTCCTTCCGTTTACACAAGAACATCTTATCCATTTTAAGAAGTTGACTGCTAGATAACTTAAACCACTTATTGATTAAACGCATCCAATAGATATGCAGAAATACGCCTGTTTCTGAAACGGTAATGTGTTGGTAGTCATGCACAATGACCAAGCAGTGGACATGGTGCAACATGAAAGCTGCCACACAAATGTATAAGACATAAGAAGCAGTAGTATCACTTCCTGTTTACCGCTCGTGTCATACTTATGGGGAAGAAACAGTTTAAAATGCTGTTGATCAGATGTTGTCACCATGGAGATCATCATAATTTGTTATTCAAATTTGGTAAATGGGAATTTCTCTTGTGCTGTGTTATAAGCGATCATGCGCTTTCACTTTCCAATTCGCGATCTTGGTGTCACCTTTAGAAGAAAAGATAATTGTCTGTTTTGCTTATATCTATACACCTTTCACTTTTAAAGACTAAAACAAAAGATGGATTCATTGTTATTCTTAATTAAAAAGCACAACAACAATAAAACAGTAGGCTACAGTTTACATAACGTTTTATTTTGTGAAACCTTACTACATATATGGAATAACCATTTTATAAAAGCAATAAGCCCCGTGAAGTCATGGTTTACAATGAATTTATAACAGCAAAGGGTCGTGCCTAACAACGTCCAATAGCTGTTATAAATTCACTGTAAACCATGGCTCTTTGGGGCTTATTGCTTTAATAAATTACAAAATGTTTAGCAAACACTGAGGAATCAAATTAAAAAAATTATAATGATAAAGAAATAGCGTGACGTGAGATAAACAGCAAAGATAAGCTTTTCAAAATGAAAACAAAAAGAGAAGCAAATTTAAACTGGCTGCCGGTGACTTTTTTTTTCTTCTCACAAGAATACCAACATGTTCATCTTCTCTGGTTTAAGAAGTGGTCTTTTACTTTACTTTAGCTTGAAAACCAAATCTTCCTTCTGCCATAATTTCCTCAATATTCGTATCATTTTTGCCGCCAATTTCGCGTACAACTGAACTTCTTGTAAACTTTAACGTTGATAAGATGCAATGTTACGGATGGACTTTACAGCATCTACAGGTGCCAACAAGAAATCAAGATGATTTTTGATTAATATTGAGAAAATTAATTTTTAAAGAATTGATTTCTTTCTCTTTTAATTTTTCAAAACTGATCAAACATTTTGTTTATTTCTAAGAGTAGGTTAGGGACATCAATAGACCTTTTTTTCCTAAGGTACCCAGTGAAACCGCTGTGCAGTCATGTTTTGTGTTTCTATCAGCAGTTTAGAATCAGAACCAGTGACTAGATGAATTAGTACTGATCCAATCACTCAAATGGGTTCGAAAAAAGGTCTGAAATATTTTGCGATTCAGGTTAAATTATTCAGACAGTTTACTCACTTAATTGTTTGCAGCAGTTTCTCACACTGATATTTACAGTACCTACAATCCAAAACTCACAAATGTTGTCTATCGTTCACGTGACCGCGATTAAGCAGCCGCATATGCAATAAAGATGCAAATATGGGACACTTTTTGAAAGGAGGCTAGAAACGCTCCTGATGCACTTTAGGTAGATTCTGTGGTCACTCAAAGCAGCTGAATACGTTTGAATAAACCTGGGGACACTCTGTAACTAATAGGAGAACATGTTGTCTGGTGTGACCTCATGATGATTCACTGCTCTGAGGTCAGCTAAGGATTGTTCATGCTCCGTCACAATCAATTCTGCATTACAAACAATGTGACTGATTGCTTACCACACCTCATATTTCCCTCAGTAAATAAAAAACTCACAAAGACATGTAATCAGTTCTGAGAGGCTTACGTCCTGGAGGGTGTGTCAAACTGCTCATATGACCTGTAACGTATGTACGCGGATACGTTGTTTACGTTCAGATCAAAGCGTCAAAATGGCTGAAAAACTAAATTTGAATTTTTTACTTAAATATCAAAATTCGAATTATATTCGAATTTAAAATATGTAGCATTTGGACCAATCAGACACACAACTTTTTGTTATATTTAACAAATAATATATAACACCCCCTTACCTAACCAAAGGGCCAATTACGAGGGTCTATGGACCCTTCCCCCGAAATGCATCTAACACCTCAGAAAGGCAGAACAGGCCTCTGGTTCCATGGCAACCAATGCTGATATCACTGGTTTTATTGCCCAAAGGAATGTGGGCAGAGAAACTCACAATTAATTTACCCTTAGGAAAGACACAATGCCCATAAAAATGGACTCTTCTTTAATTAATTAATAGAAAAACCTTTCTGTGAATGAAAACACATCTCCTCAGGACATTGTGTATACCATTATATATTGTCTTTTATATTGTATACTGTTTTATGCAGGCTTATGATAGAACCACACTTCATGTCATCTTACCTATATGTAATCCTACCATGTATAGTATCTATGAATTCGTCTTCTGATGATCTAAACGAAGGTGTATATTATATGTTGATACATAGGCAATATATTAGTGTTCTAAGAATCTTTAGTAATTTTGATTCAAGTTCCACATGCAAATTACCATGCTCTCACACAAAGGGTCATAAAACTCCCCAGTATTTCCAACCTCCCGCTTGGAATTTCAGCATTTCTCATTGGACAAGCTCATCCTGAGAGGTGTGAATCTTGTCAGACCTTAAAAGCCTCACATCAGTGACCCGCCTTCAGGCTGCGGTCCTGTTAGATTCTGAGAAGATGAGGATGTGAGCTAGAACGCTCCTAAGGACACCCTAAGTTCGCGCCAGGCTTCGGCCTCGACTTTCCATTCACCAAGATCATCTGACTCAAACTGGTTCTTTTTCATCAACCAACTTCAGCAAAGATCAGCTTGAGCCTTCAGATTGCATCAGGACTCTCTTTCAGACAGACAAGATGTACAAGTATCAAACTTAGTCTTATTAATTGAGACATTAAGTATCATTTGCACCTTTTTACAAAAGGTGTGTTTGAACTAAGAAACTGATGTTTCCTTCAGGCTGTAGATCTGCTGAATATCAAATGGTACCATAGCTTCATGTTTTCATTTCTCTTCTTTTTACTGCCTAAGCTTTAACCGTTTTCCTATACCAACTGTATGCGTGTGTGTGTGTGTGTGTGTGTATGTGTATGTGTATGTTAGACTAGTTTAAGTGTTTTTGTAGTTAAAGTCTTACTTGTATCACACTTGAGGTTGTTCATTGTTTGCTCATAACGGGAGTCCCTAATCCTGCAGATTTATGCTACATGCTCTGAGTAGTATTGTACAGTAAGAAAGTTATTTTCCTTAACCAGGAAATTAACATTCTTAGAATTAACAGACAGTTGACACGGATGACACGGAGATGTCAAATGAATGCTTACAGCGCAGTCACTGAACATGTATAGGTTGATAAGGTAAAACTCGGGACAAGTTTTTTTGCACGCACCCGTTTTTAACACGCCTTGACTGTCGTACAGTCTGACATTAATGACAACTGAGATCCCACAGTGTGACATGATCATCATGTTCGTACAGTCTGACAAGTACAATCCTAAAGGACTTTTAAAAAAATCACAGTGTGAGCCCGGCTTTAGTTTCAGTTTGACGTAAACAAGATCTTCTCCGCATTGATGTTCTCTTTTCCCGCAATATTTGTAATGAACAACGCAGCAGCGCCGCATCTAGTGGCTTTTAACTGAATAGGCTAACAAAAACATTATAACGCAACGACACTGTTACGTTCTGTGCTTATTTATACAATATTGTTGGTTGCTACGTAGTGCTGTGTGCTCTTTCTCTGTCTCTCCATGTGTTACTGCTGCTCAACCAGGTGTGGAGGAGAGGAAGGTGATCACTCGCACCTGCCGTTCGTTACTGTGCAGAGGCTGCAAGCTCAAAAGCTGTTCAAAGCTCGACTTCCAGAGTGCTGTGCTTCTCGCCTGCCTTGTGTTGCTCTTGAAGTTTTGTCAGAGATTGATACGGTGTAAAACTTACTCGGGTTATGGCTTATTGTAGCCTTCCGAAAGGTAATTAGCGTTGTTGTTGCGCTACGTGTCTCTCTGTGTTGGAAGTCGTAGGGAGGTGGTGCTATTTTATTTGTGAATATTTTTCTCTTGTTTTTGCTTAGTTAGGGAGTTAGCGTACATTTCTGTTGTTAATTTTCTTTTGTTTTGTCAGTTTAGACCGTTTTACTCCTTAACTAGTTTAGAGGGTCCTTTTGTTTGTTGTTTTGGCCTTTCCCCCACCTGAAGTCTATTTTGCTTCCTATTTTACTTTGTCATTTGGAAATTTTGTAAATACAATACTTGATTTTGGAACTTAACATGTCTGTTGTGCTGGGCAGGGGACTGGTACTCACTCACCCCAACCAAATTTATGTTTACTTTTCTCTGTTACCCCCTTAACCTAGACCCTTACATCTGGGACATAACAACACTTATATCGTCATCGCATGTTAAGGCTGCCTCCTTAACGCACACCTAAAATTCGAAAGCAACATTTTTGCATTCGAATTTGGATCTTTATTTTAAATTCGACGAATATTCGAAATTCACATTTTTTTTGACAGCCCTACTATGCACATAGTTTCCAGGTTAGGAAGATTAAGTAAACCACTAGGCAGATAATGCATTGATTTAAGAAAAAAAACTCTGATTGGGGTTTAAACTCTGATTAAACGCTTGAAATAAGGCAACCATGACGAATATTCGAAATTCACATTTTTTTTGACAGCCCTAGTTTGTGATACTCACCAAAATGGTGCTAGGGAGCGGAGGAGACGAATTGTTGAATAAAGTCGTTATTTTTGTTTTCTTTGCGCACAAAAAGTATTCTCGTAGCTTCATAATATTAGTTAACCCACTGATGTCACATGGATTATTTTAACAATCTCCTTGCTACATTTCTGAGCCTTGATCGTGTTAGGATCCTTGCTGTCTATGGGAGAGTCAGAGAGCTCTCAAAATTAATCAAAAATATCTTAATTTGTGTTTCGAAGATGAACGAAGGTCTTACAGGTTTGGAACGACATGAGGGTAATTAATGACAGAATTTCCATTTTTGGGTGAACTATCCCTTTATGTGTAATAAGTACGTAATCTAGTGATGTCTAAACTAATTTTTAATCAACAAAATCATTGAGCTTACCTTCATTTTTCATGATGTAGTGAACAATTTGGCCCACCGTGTCATTGTTGCCTTCACTGAAGGTGTCGTTCAGATCTGACAGAGAGAGAAAGAGAGCTATTGAATATTGGTTAACTTGCCTTTGTTATAAAAACTAAATTAAGTGAAAATGGAATTGAAAGTGACATCGGTTTTATAAAAAAAAAATAATAATAAAAAAAACACTCTTTAGTGTTGTGTTATACAAACAGAACCAAAGCACAAAACATCCAGAAAAGTGTGCAGGTGTGCTGTTTTTTGAGACAAAACAGCCTTTGTATCAAACTGTCATCACGGTTATTAGTGTTTGTCACTTTATGACACTCAATACGCAGGTGGTATGAAATGCTATATTTGCTGACACAGTTGTACTAAAAGGACTTGCTTATGATAGCAGAAAACACTCAAATTTACAATACTAACAATAAATATGGTCTGTTGGCCTCAGTGAAAAGTCTCATAAAGGCATCTGGAGATGGAAGGGAATTTCTGAAAATCTTTAGCTCAGAGGGGGCCGCTTACAGAAAACACACACACCACCCATGTCCTTCCTGAAGCCATGGACCCCTGCTGGAAAGGACAGACTTCCTGTGTTGAATTTGCTGTCACAGCTGGGGATCAGACTGTAGGTCTGGAGTCATAAAATTTATGACTGCTATTTATTTAATTTTTTTTAGTTAGTTTGTTCGTTTATTTATTGCATGTATTAATCTACAACTAAATCATTTCCATACACAATGTCAAAATGCCTACAGTCTAGGTTTACCAACAATAAACCAGAGATTACTAATATTTACAGCAAATGACTGTGTTGTTATTGTTAACTACATCTAAAATAAAATAAGCTTAAGCTGAAGTACTAGATTACTCAAATTAAAACTGAAATAAAGCTATGCAGAAATAATAAAAAAAAATGAAAAATGACAAAAGCAGATTAAATGACCAAAACTACAATTAAATCAAAGTAGTAATAAATATTATAAGAAAACAGAATAATACCAAAATAACACTGCTCAGGCAGATGGCCCTGTATAAATAAATGCATATGAATATTGAGGGGAAGAAAGAAAGAGAGGTAGGGTTGTGCCAGGTTAAACAAGTCCACACACACACTTAAGTTTCCTAGAATTCAGACAATGCCACGTGAACAATCCTAGAAAAGCATACAAACTAACATATAGACTTGCATTTGAAAATAAATACATTAAAAATAATAATATAATATAATTTTTTATTTAGCTTAAATGAGGGTGATAAGATGCTAAGAAGAGAGAGATAGTTTCCTGGAGCTAAAACGCTCCTAGACACAACCATAGCAGCAGTACACCTAAAAACAAATATACAGTTTTAAATGACGCAAAGACAAAAATGGTTACAAACAATAATGCGCAAGCAAGGCGAACACTGAGAACAATACAATTTGCACTACTGTGGCCAGGCCAGTTCTTAACCACAAGGTGTGTCAAGTTAAATTTCTCTTCCTATAGCTGATAAAACTGTAACTTTATTCTTTAGCATACGTGATCTTTGATCTTTCGAGTGTCTTTGGCAGGGCCATATATGCTAGAGCCAACTCCCAAAACCTCCCCAAGATGCTGATAGGAGAGATGAAGAAACACGACTCATCAGTGGAGTATAATGTATTGTCTGTCCTCCAATCTAAAAATGATGACACTAAAACTGATTATGTAAATACTCAAGATACAATCACAGACATGTCAAAATAACGAGAAGATGAGCAGCTTTAATGAGATTAAATAAGACAAGCATGATAGTATGTTAGAAGAGACTTTTCTACATTTCTGACATTTCTTCACCTCTCTTCCTAAAGAATGTCTGAAAACAGGAAAAACAAAACTGCTTCCAAGTGGGCTGAATATAAATCTCAGCTTAAATGCGCTATCCCACAAGCACTTGAAACACCCTGGAATGAGGTCACACATCCACTTTTAACCTTCGGTGGTCCTTCAACTGATTGCTAAGAGGAAAGTGGTTTTAAAATATTTACTTCTTAAGTCTTTATTTTCATTTTATTCCACTAAATTAATTATACACCACACATTTTTTAGACCATTTCCATATACAAACCATTAGTTTTAATCATTTTCGGGGACTTTAATAAAGCAAATCTTTCCCGTGAACTGCCAAAATACAGACAGCATGTTACATGTCCCACCAGAGACAGTAATATACTGGACCATTGTTACTCCACGATAAAGGATGCATATCGCTCGGTCCCCAGAGCAGCTGTAGGACTCTCTGACCACTGCCTGGTTCATCTTATACCGACCTACAGGCATAAACTTAAATCTGCTAAACCTGTAGTAAAGTCTGTAAAGCGGTGGACCAACGAAACAGAGCAGGCATTGCAAGCCTGTTTCGACTGCACTGATTGGAGTGTTTTTGAAGCAGCCACCAACGATCTGGACGAGCTCACGGAATCTGTAACATCATATATCAGTTTCTGTGAAGACATGTGCATCCCTACCAGGACTCATTTAACATTCAACAATGATAAGCCATGGTTTACAGCAAAACTTCGTCATCTTCGTCAGGCCAAAGAGGACGCCTACAAAAGGGGGGACAGAGTCTTGTACAATCAGGCCAGAACACTGTTAAACAATTATTTTTATTTTTTTAAAGTGTTCAAATAATGCAGGATTAGATCTTAAAAGCAGATACCACCAATTAACAACCTTGTAGTTCACGAAAGGTTTGTCTTTATAGGTTTATTTATTATTAAGTTATTGTTAAAAATCAATTCTCCTAGAGAAAATGAACTGCATTTTTACAGTTGTTACAAAATGGAAAATCCATTTGATAACAAGGAACAAGGAAGACAACGGAGTTTGTCAAGTTACTGGAATGTTTAAGTAAATGTTATGCACCACTGCTAAAAACCTAGATGAACTTGCTGACCTTACTAATCGACAATTTAGTTGATATATCTTTAGATGAACTCATAACTTCATTGAGTTAATATACTTTGAAACTTTAGCCACAGAAGAGGGCTAAAAGCAGAGTTAGCAGTGCTTATTCAATTAGTGCTGAGAACTAGTGTCTGCACTAGGCATGGGCCGATTACCAGTTTCAAGGTATACCGCGATTTGAAAATTTCACGGTTTCAAAACCGCTAATAATTTCCGTTATACCGTTCCTGCGGTATGCGCTGTTTTTCATGTCTCCTCAAAGACTGAAAGTGTAGGAATCCCTCAGGTTGAGTGCAGTGTAGAGAGTACCCCGACCCTCCTCCTGATGGTGCGAGCGAGCGGTCAGTCACGTGGGTGTAGGATGGCCGAACTTAAGGAGCTGCCCCTGGAACTTACACGATCGGCAGCCGGCTGTCTCTGTTCTGGACTTGCACAAACTGCGTTCCAATGCAATTGTTTTCCAAAATGTAATTTATGTGAAAATATGAAGTCTGTAAATGCCTGTTAACAGAGGCCAGAGACGCTGAAGACAGACGCACAGAGAAAAATACTGTAGCAGGCAGATCACTCACTGTTCATGATGCACAAACTATTGGAAGAAAATCCTCAATATTGATTTGGGGGTTTATATGAATGTGTTTCTGAGGGGAACTGACTGACCAAGGAAACGCCGTATCTGGTGTTCCAGAAGCGCCTCCTGCTGTCAGAGAGTGAATCTGCAACTCATTCAGAGCTCCTGCTGTTTGCTTCATTCAGGCATGTAGTATAATTTCACAAAGCTAGTCAGAACATTCTGTTTTTGCTTCAAATTGGGTTATTATTAAATAAAATTATGTATATGAATTATATAACTAAAATTAAATAACCGTAATTACAGATTTAGGTTAAATAAAGATGTCAGTCTTTATTTTTCTTCTTTTTAGGAAACAAATCAAAGAAAAAATAAACAATCCTAATATTCTGTGTTGCTCAAAACAAAATATATTGTGTTCAGCAAAAAACTTTTTTTTTTACCCAGTCATTTAAAAATAACACATTTTAGAGCTGTAACGACAATACCGTTATACTGTGATATTTTTGCTTAAGGTTATCATACCGTCAAAATCGCATACCGGCCCATGCCTAGTCTGCACAGACAGAGAAACGTATTACATAGCTCAAAATGAGACAGGCCAAGTGTTTAGTCAGTCAGATACATAGAGAATGACAGAAAGGGCAAGACTGAGTGAAAGCTAGGGCTACGGAGGGAAAGAATGACCTCGGAAGACAGACACTGGCATGGCACCCTGCAGTGAATGACTCAGGGAACGCAGTAATCCCTGTAAATTTCCACTGTACAGTCACACTCTCCAATTTCATCACTCCCTATATCTTTTACTCTTAACCCTTTATGTACTACATCAGTAAAAGCATGGTACTTTGATATATTCCACAATACGAAATCATTTCCATGTACCAAGGCATTTACATGTTTCTCCAGGGTTCTTAAATAAAATATCACAAAATTACTAGGGCTGCACGATTAATCGAATGCGATTTTCATGCGCATCTTGTCAGTAAAGCCGATTCTGTGATTAGTAGTAAATCTCCAGCACGTGCTTTCAGATGGAGCAGCGTTTACTACACAAAGCCATAATTCACTGACAAGCTACGCAAAATCGCGTTTATAATCGCAGACGATTTAATCACGTGATTATGAAATCGAAGAAATCGTTCTGCGATTATGAAAGCTGTTTGCGTAGCTTGTCAGTGAACTACGGCTCTGTGTAGTAAATGCTGCTCCATCCTAAAGCACGTAAAAATACCACATTTAATAACGTTTTTACTCCAAACTCACTTCATAACGTCAGTCAAGTGTTTGAAATAAATCCTTCTGTGAGATGATGTGGCTTCTTACACAGAATAAGACGCACAACATATTTCATAGTATTCTATGCAGTGATAAAGGCTATGTTGATTAGCATTGAATTATTATATACTTTATTATAATAAAAATTATAATAAGACAAATTCAGATAAACCATATATTGTCATAGTAGTGTGTTTATTAGTCACGTTGAATTATTGAAAGCAGTTAAATCTTCTGTTTATTCCGCAATCGCTATAGGGATTTCCTAGGTTTCTTCTACGAGGTGTATTTGGAGTTTCAGTGCAAGAGTGCCCTCTGGCCTTCGGATGGAGATTTACTGCTGATCACAGAACCGTGCTTTACTGAAA